TAACAAACATATGAAAACATGCTCAACATCACTAATCATCAAGAAAGTGCAAATTAAAACCACAGTGAGACACCACCTTACTCCTGTAAGACTGACCGTTATTAAAAAGTAAAACAAAACAAAATAAATATTGGTGTGGATGTGGTGAGAGGGAATCCTTATGTACTGCTGGTGGGAATGTAAATTGGTACAACCTCTATGGAAAACAGTAGGGAGATTTCTTAAAGAACTAAAAGATTTGCCATTCAATCCAGCAGTCCCATGGCTGGGTATCTACCCAAAGGAATAGGCATCATTATATCAAAAAGACATTTGCACACGTGTTTATTGCAGCACAGTCATAGTTGTAAAGCTATGGAACCAACCTAAGTGCCCATCAACCAATCAGTGGATAAAGAAATTGCAACAACTTGATTGGAGCAGGAGGCCATTATTCTAAGTGAAGCAACTCAGGAATATGAAACCAAAAATTGTATGTTTTCACTTATAAGTGGGAGCTAAGCTATGGGTACACAAAGGCACACAGAGTGATATAACGTACTATGGACACTCAGAAGTGGGAGAAGATGAGGAGTGAGGGATAAAAATTACTATTGGGCACAATATACACTACTTGGATGACGGGTGCACTAAAATCTTGGTCCACGGTACAGTTCATCCATGTAACCAGAAACTACTTGTACACCAAAAGCTATTAAAATTAAAAACAATTTTTGTTAAGATTTATTGCTTCCAAAAGACACTATATACTCTCTCTCTCTCTCTCTCTATATATATATATATATACACACACACACACACGCACACACTATATACTATGGTTTAATATACTATGGTTTATAACTTAGAAGAGAAAATTAAACATTAAACATTTAGGTTCTTAATCATACAAGGTTTGTAGTTCTACTAGAGCTGTACTCCTCATCTAGCTTCCCTGGAGGATTTGTTAGATTTTTTTTTTTTCTATTTATGAAAGGTATTGGTAACCAACACATACATGTTTGCTCTGGTTTCTATGGTTATTTCTATATTATTACTATTAGAATGCTAGCAGATCTTTCTGATTTGTACTAAGGTAAAGATTCCACTGAAAAATTTTTGAGTATCTTCAGTTTATATTACTTATGTATATGCATGCATATACATGTAATACCTTTACATATAAATTTTTAGAATGATGAGTATATTGATTTCTATTAAATGTATGTTTATTTTAAAAACAAATGGAAACACAAAGAAGAAAATAACACTTACCTACATCCTCTCACCCTTAATTAACTGTTACTAACTACATATTGCTTTTAGAGGGGCAGAGATCACTCTATTAGTTTTGTAAAACTGATATGCATATACTTATACTTAATTTAAACCATGGAGAAGAGCACAAAGAGGAAAGTTTAAAAAACCTCCACTTAGAAATAATATTAGTTAGATATCATTTTAAGTAGGAATGATAGAAGAATACTTTTGTGAAGATAAGATCATATACTGGAGGGTTTTTTTAAGTTCACATTTATTTGAATTTAATGAAAGAAAAGGAGATAAAACTGAAGAAATTGGGGAACTTGAAACATGTATCTCTTTACCACAAGAAATATTTTCCTTCAGTTTTGTAAGTTTTGGCTTCATGTGTTTTTGAGCTTTTTTGTTGGGTGCATGTATGTTTATAATTATTTTATTTTATTGATGGATTGACCCTTTTATTATCAGACATGCTTTATTTCTAGTAATAATTTTTGTCTTAAAGTTGTTTTGTCTGATATTAGCATATTAGTGTAGCTAATTTAATCTAGCTTTCTTTCAGTTGTTTGCAAGGTGTATCTCTTTATATCCTTTTACATCCAATTTATTTTTGTCTTAAAAGTGTGTTTCTTGAAGTTGGCATATAGTTGGTACATGTTGTCGTTTTCCAAATTAATCTGCTAGTCTCTGCCTTTTGATTATCAGGTTTTATCAATTTACACTTAAGTGGGGGTAGAGTAGGATTTATGTCTGCATTTTGCTCTTTGTTTTCTGTATGTCTTAAATGATTTCCTTTTTCCTCTGTGTCCCTGTTACTTCTTTTACATTAAGTAGATATTTTCTAGTATACTAATTTAATTCCCTTATCACTTAAATACATATGTTTGTGGGTATAGGGTTACTTATATTTCCTGAGTGGTGCCCTGAGAATTACAATTAGCATATTAATTTATAACAATCTAATTAAGATAATACCAACATACTTTTCATAGTATATAAAAACTTTGCTCCTATATAGCTCAATTCTCCTCTTCCTTTATGCTATTATTAATGTAATTAAATCTTATTACATCGTATGCTCATCAACATAGACTTACAATTATTGCCTCAGGCAGTTTTCTTTTAAATTAGAGTTATGAACAAAAAATACATTAAAACTGTCTTTTATAGTTATCTTTGTTGGAGCCTTGACAAGTGTTCTTTATTTCTTCATATGGATCAAGTTACTTTTTAGTGTCCAATTTTCCTTAGTCTTTGTCTTGTAGGGCAGATATGCTAGTGAAGAATTTTTGCCTTTATTTGGGAGTGTCTTAATTTCTATTTTATTCTTGAAGAATAGTTTTGCTGAATTTGAAATACTTGATTGACAGTCTATTTATTTCAGCTTGTGCGTATGTCATCCATTGCCTCTTGCCTGCATGTTTTCTGGTGAGAAATCGGCTATTGATCTTGTCAGAAATCCCTTGTTCATAATGAGTTATTTCTTTCTAGTTACTTTGAAGATTATCTTTTTGTCTTCTGACAGTTTGATTATGATGTGTGTTACTGTAAGTCTCTTGAGTTAATCCTTCTGGGAGGTCAGTTAGCTTCTTGGATGTTGATTAATGTCTTTTAAAATCACAATTGGAAAGCTCTCTGCCATTGTTTCTTCACTGCATTTTTCTCTTTATTCTTTCCTTCTGGGATCCCCTTTATACTTACATTGTTAGATGATGTCTCATCTTTGATATGCTGCTCATTTTTTTTTTTTTTTTGAGACTGAGTCTCTCTCTGTCGACCAGGCTGTAGCACAGTGGTGCAGTCTCGGCTCACTGCAGCCTCCACCTCCTGGGTTCAAGCAATTCTCCTGCCTCAGCCTCCTGAGCATCTGGGATTATAGGCTCGTGCCACCACGCCCAGCTAATTTTTGTATTTTTGGTAGAGACAGGGTTTCACCATGTTGGTCGGGCTGGTCTCCAACTTCTGACCTCATGATCCTTCCACCTCAGCCTCCCAAAGTGTTGGGATTACAGGCATGAGCCACTATTCCTGGCCCATTTTCTTTTATTCATTTTCTTTCTGTTTCTCAGACTCTATAATTCACCTATCTTTAAGTTGACTGATTAATTATTCTGCTTGCTTAACTCTTATGTAAGGCCAAGCACAGCAGTTCACACTGGTAATCATAGCATTTTGGGAGGCTAAGGCAGGAGAATCACTTGAGCCCATGAGCTTGAGACCAATCAGCCTGGGCAACATAGCAAGACCACCATCTCTACAAAAAATAAAATTAGCCAGGCGTGGTGGCACGAGCCTGTAGTCCTAGGTACTAATACTTGGGAGACTGAAATAGGATGATCACTTGAGCATGGGAGGTTAAGGCCGCAATGAGCTGTGATTGCACCACTGTACTTTATCCTAAGTGACAGAGAAAGACCCTGTCTTAAAAAAAAAAAAAAATCTATGTAAGACCCTGATAGTGAATTTTTCATTTCAGTTATTGTACTTTTTGACTCCAGAATTTCTCTTTGGTTGTGTTTTATTATTCCTGTCTCTTTATTGATATCCTCTATTTGGTGGGACATTGTTTTCATACTTTAGTTCTTCAGACATGATTTCCTTCAGTCTTTGAACATACCTAAAACAGCTTGTTTAAAGTCCTCGTCTAGTAAATCTAACATCTGGACTTCTTCAGGGAATGTTTCTATTGTGTTTTTCTCAGCATGGGCTATGTTATCTTGTGTTTGGGGTATGTTTTATTAGTTTTTTGTTCTTGTTACTTTAATGAAGGAGAGAGTATTTTTGGACATGCTAACTTTGCTGTTCCTAGTTATGTAACTTATGCATTAACTTTCTACATAAAACGGTCTTTTAATTAATGCTGATGTTTAAAAATTCTTATACCTTTCTACCTACCTGCCACTAGGCTATAGTCTCTTGCATTGTCTTCAAAGTCCTATATTTTTAATTTTAAAAATATTACTAACATTGTAAGTACTCTGAAAATATTTTTAAAGAAATTCATAAGCACTTGTTTTTATGTATCATGGTGCCACCAAATAAGGATAGTGAACTTGGCATACCTTCTACTTAATAAGGGCAAGGCACACTAGTCAGCCATACAACAATCTCATTTAATATTTACAGAATCCATCTGAATCTCTGAAAAGTTAAATAACTTGCTGAAGGTTACACAACTAGTAAGTGATAGTAGATCCAAGATTTGAACTTAATTTGTTTAATTCTAGAGCCCAATAAATTAATGGTATTGTTATACTGTTTCTGTGAAGTGATTTTCCAAATGTGTGACCCATGCGTTACCTTCTTGAGTGACTCCTGGGGTGCTTGTTGAAATGTCAGTTCCTGAACCCCTAACCTATACATACTGAACTAAGATCTCTGAGATTTGGGCCTGAGAGTAGGTGATATTTCTCAATTACATTATAGTTGGGATAGTGCTGGTCCATGGACTGCTTTTTTCTTATGATTTGGGCTAAAATATAATTCTATAATTCAAGTAAACACTAACTTTTCAAACTATTTTTTGAATTTTAGAGTACAAGGTGACATATTCTGAGATAATCTAACAAAGAAATTTTCTCTCACTTTTTGTGCTGTCAGTGTAGCTCGAAGTAAGCTATTAATAAGTTATAGATTTCTATCTAATGCGTGAGCCTATCCTTTGTAATTTTACATTTTTCTTTTACTGTTAACTTACATTTACACATTAAAATTTAGTGGAAAAATATAAGGAGCAGATAAATCATCTCTTATTTTAGGTTGAACTCCCACCACCTGATCTTGGACCAAGTTCTGCGCTAAATCAGACACTCATGTTGCTGCGTGAAGTTTTGGCATCTCACGATTCTTCAGTGGTACCATTGGATGCACGTCAAGCTGATTTTGTGCAGGTATGTTGTAAATTCATTTTTAATGATTGTTTTCCACTCTTCTATTGTACATTCTGCTTCAATTCTGGAATTTTGTACTTCATATACTTCGACAGAACCTTTCTTATTGTTGTTTTTCCTTCAAATATTAAACCAGTTCTCATAATTTAAAAAGTGTTGATTCAGTGATCAACTATTTTTTAAACTATGTTTAATGGTTTCCTATAAGCTTCTACAAATTGATTTCCTTCCAACTAGTTTGGCCTTAATTCTAAAGTGTCATTAACCGAAGACCATATCAGTGATTGAGAAATAATTAGTTTTATTTTTCATTCGTAGGTTTTATCATGTGTCTTGGATCCTCTCCTACAGATGTGTACTGTATCAGCCAGCAACTTAGGCACAGCTGACATGGCCACTTTCATGGTCAATTCACTATATATGATGAAGACAACATTAGCTCTATTTGAATTCACGGACAGACGTCTGGAAATGCTACAATTTCAGGTACATTTTTCTATACAATGACTGTTTACTTTGATTCTATCTTTTTCTCTATGTGATAGCTTTAAGTTAATGGCTTAACTAATTTTAGTGACCTAATTCCTATAGATCTTTTGATATCATCTGATGAAAGGACACACATACAATACACACATACACACGTGCACGCGCGCAAATTCAGTATTTCAGCTTTCAGCTTTAGAGGAACCAGAATATATAATGTTTAAAATAGTTGATTCATACCATAGTATGTGATGGTAGATTGAAGATTTTCAGATTAATTTCAACAGTTATTCTGTATGCAGATTTTGGTTTCTGAACTGTGAATAATATGTTATATTTCTCAAGCTGCATGGTTAATGCAGAATGTGTTACAGAGGACAGATATATTTTTATCTATGTGAAAACCAGTGTTAGGCAAAACATTACAAGTTGCTATACCTCTCCAGTCCTATAAAGCAAATGGTTATCACTTAAGAGCGTGTATGATGACTAAAACAAAGCCATTTGTAAAATTTAGTAGATAGTTGGTTCCAATTTTAAGCAGTGATTATAGGTAAATATACTGTTTTTTTAAAAAGACAACTCAATGTTCTGTGCTATCACACATATATCAACAATTTGTCAGTGGGTATAAGAATGAGTTTTTATATTTCTAAATCTATGAAATTTTCTAATTTCTAGTTTTTTCTTTTTTCTTCTTTTGAGACACAGTCTCACTCTGTCACCAAGCTGGAATGCAGTGGCACAATCTCGGCTCACTGCAGCCTCCACCTCCCAGGTTCAAGCGATTCTCCTGTCTTAGCCTCCCAAGTAGCTGGGACTACAGGCATGCACCAGCATGCCCAGCTAATTTTTGTATTTTTAGTAGAGACAGGATTTCACCATGTTGGCCAGGATAGTCTCGATCTCTTGACCTTGTGATCTGCCTGCCTTGGCATCCCAAACTGCTGGGATTACAGGTGTGAGCCACCATACCTGGCCTAGTTTTTTCTTTTAAAATAAAAATTCAGATTTGTGGTTTAAAGTCAAATAATTCTACAGAACTTCTTATGAAAAGCCACCAGTGTACCATCCTCTCCACCCCCAACATCTCTCTTTCATTTCTCACTCAAAAACACAGTTTCTTTCAGTTTTTATAGTTGCTTCTTTTGGTGTTTATATTTGTAATTCTGAACACTTATGTATATTGCTACTTATAGATTTTTTTTCGTTTTATATCTAATGTATTACATTAGATATAATCTAATACGTTATGAAATGAACAATGAAAATTTAGTTATTTACTTAATTTTTAAATTTTAAATTTTTTAGTTTAAATTTAGTTATCTATTAAGTTTTTAAATATTTTGTTACCTACTGCCACCCACCAACCTCCCAGATAAGAATATGCCATACGTAGAGCTTTCCCATCTTTCCAATGCAGCTATATTATTTAGGTTAGATTAGTATTGTGTTAAGTTATTATTACTATGTAGCACTATTGGTGACTGAACCATGTAATGCAGAAAGGTTAATTTACCTTTCTTGGATAACTTTTTCATTTTCTGTGGAACTAATAGCATTTTTATTTAAGAAATGTCACGTTTTTCTGTGTTTGTTAGTAATTCAAGCTCAAATCTCTGCCATTTATCTAAATCTTAGGATATTCAGATATGTCAGGTGTTTATCAATTTGTTTTATCACCAATTATCTGTTTTTCTTATGTGTTCCTTAGCTATTTTATGCATGGTAAAGATTCTTAGTCTGTGTGCTAAATTGAGCTTATTCAAGTTCTCTCTGTCCTTGCTTACTTTTGCTCCCATTGAATGTGTCAACTGGACTTTTCACATGTATTTCAACATTCTCCAGAAATCTCTTGAGCCAGATCTTTATTAGTCCTGGCAGCATTTTCAGTAATTTTTCCATCAGCAGATAATTTAGGTTTTCCTTTCTCCAGACTCCACTAGCAATTTTGTCAGTGCCCTTTTAGACCCCACTGGCAGACCCCTTGAGTGGATATTCCAAGCAGACAAATCCCAGTGTGGAAGTGCTTATTGGTCTAAACTCGCATGATATTTGTTAGTGTGCTGTCAGCCAAGACTGGTCACATAGAGCAGCCTGGATTCAGTGTGATAGAGGACAATACAAGGGTGTGGATTTGGGAAGGTGTGGTTTATCACGTTCCTCCAAAGTAACAGTTTACCCTGTTGGGTAGAGGATTCTTGATTTTAGGACCTTTACTACCAATAACCTATTTTTTTTCCCCACTCTTATATAGCCTCTTCCAGTGTTTCAAGCAAGAAGTCCAGAGTAGTCTGATTCTTTTTTGTTTTTAGTTATCTAGGCCATTCATCTGGAAACATACAGGGATTTTCCTTTGAGTTCATATGTTTTTCCAGGATACTTTTAGTATGTCTCTTTTTCAAAGTTATTTCCATCTTGGACTTTGGAGAACCAATTCAATGTAAAGATTCAAACCTTTCTTTTGCTTAGTAAAGAGTTACAATATTTCTTTAATCATCACTTTTCTATGTTACTTTTTACGTTTTGAAGCCCCTGTCCTTGGTTGGTTTTATCTCATGGATTTGTCCTCTAATTTCTTTTTAAATCTCATTACTTTAATCTATTTCTTCAACATTTATTTGCCCTATATTACTTTCCTTCCTTCCATGTTTTCTTTGGACCACTAATTTGATTTTTAGCAGTAACTTTTTTTTCACTTTCATTAAGTGTTTACCTTTGTACATCTTGTTTTTCTTTGATTTCTATTAAGTCCAGCAAATAAGGACTCTAATTGTACTTCCTTGGGCATTTATTTAAAAAAAAAGATGAAAGTCCTTTATGTCTTTCAGTAGTGTTGCCCCAGGAAAGAAACCATACTTGTTCTGATTATTCACAGGGGCATTCTTTTAGCTTACTCACCTCTTTTAAGTCAGTTCTAAGTTTTTTTTAGTGGGATGAGCAGAGCTTTTGGAGTTCTTGGAAAATGGCATTCAGATGGTAACAGATACCATAGGTGACAGTGTACTGTGTCATTAGCAAGCAAACTGGTAAAGCCTGGGGGAGCATTGTGGTGAGGAATAGAAGGAACACCTCCAGACTCAAGATTGTACTGCCCAAAAAAAAAGGAATAAGAAGGTTTTTCTCACCAGGGAATGTTTCAACCCGTCAATGTGGTCCTCTTCTGTGGTTTTTACCTCCATCTCATTAGCATTAGTTGAAATCCCCCAAAATAGCACAAAGCTTGTGGGGAGCCCATTCTACTCACATCTGTTAGCCGCATCTTCGTAGGCGGTTCCTGAACCTAAAATCTTTGGCCAAGTTTTTACTGGGCCCTCAGCTCTTCCCTGCTATTCATAGATCTGCCATATCCTCAGGAGAATTTACTACCTGAGCTGTAATGAGATTTCCTCTAGGTTTCTCCAGATGGTATGTTTGATTTGTTAAGTCAGCCTAGCAAGTTGGGAGCATGAGGAGGACAGGAGGTCAGAAGTATCAGGCCCCCATCTTCTCAGAATTCTTCCTAAATATTTTATTTCATATTGTTGTTGCTTATCAGTGTTTTTTGTTTTGTTTTGTTTATTATCAATTTTTAAAAGAGCTGAGAAGCAACCCAAATTCTGTGGCTGGAGGATAGTCTGAGAATCCTCTTTGCTTATAATTTTTAAAGTAAGACTTTTCCCCCCTTTCATAGAAAGACTTACTGTCTGGGGAAAGAAAAAGCTTTTGTTACAGAGGCCATCCCTGTGCCTCATAATCTGTGCCAATACAAGGAAAGACTCCGTGATGCAGAGCTAAGACTCGGGGGTAGTCTGCTTCTACTCTCATCAGTGTCATTCTTCTAAAATGTTTTCTTTCTGTGTTTTGTTTTAGATCGAAGCACATTTGGACACACTTATAAATGAGCAAGCCTCTTACGTTTTAACTAGGGTGGGCTTGAGTAACATCTATAACACTGTGCAGCAACACAAACCAGAACACGTAAGTGCATGGATGCTCCTTCCTGATTCTAAGAACATGCCAGTCTAGAGTATGGCTTCTAGAGCTTCACTCTGGATTCCTTGCTCTACTACACATTAGCTATGTTTTCCTCGGAAAGTGACTTACTCTTCTCTATCTGTTTCCTTACCTGTGCATTGGGAGTAATAATAGTGTCTGTGTGATAGGATCGTCCTTAAGATTAAAAGACATAAACATGTATCGTTCTTCGATGACTTCCTGAAATATGGTAGAGTGCTCCAAAGTATTAACAATTTTGTTATTACATATAGTTTTTGTTAAAAGTAATGAAAATATACAAAAATTAGTATTATAGAATGTCTAAAGGATATTCATACTGGCAAATTTTTCAGATTCCTATGTCACTATTAGTTCATTGAATGCATAGATTGCTGTATAAATAGCAGTCATCTTCTTCTTAATTTAGTAAATAGTTGCCCATTACTTTGAGAAGATAGTCATTTCTGGGGCCAGTATATGATTTTGTTAAATTGTAGAATCCTAGTAGAAAAAAAGAAGTGGTGGGAACCCTGGAAAATCATGTGAGCCATCTTTCTTTAGAAAGCAAAGAACTCTTTCCAGTGGCACTAACTTAAAGACTGTATTAGGACCCAGGAATTCTTAAATGAAGCTCTTAAAACACAACTTCAATTTTTTTCTTGCTGAAGTGATAAGCAAATTTCTACCAGTAGAAACCAATTTTGCTGCCTTTCTGTACTTTCTAAAATTATCAAAGTGAAATTGTTCAAGCCTCCATGCGTCACTGGCATCTTCCAGTGCTTCATTGCCTTCTTTTTCTTGGGTATGAGTAAACTTGAAGTATCATGATATTTCCATTGTTAATAAACTTGAGCGCCTCTCGCTCTCTCCAACAAATCGTAGTCCCTGATCTTACTGAAGTCGAAGAAATTACATTAGAGTTATTTGCAAATAAGCTAAATGATTTTCCAAATCTGGGCAGTGCATGATGGACTATATTCACTGAATGAAATGAAATGAAATAAAATGTATGTCTCCTTTTTTACATCTTGATTCTGCTTTTTTTAAAAAATAGGGCTCTTTAGCTAATATGCCAAACCTAGATTCTGTGACACTGAAGGCTGCAATGGTAAGTATATAATAAAACATTTTACTCTAGATTTTCTTATGGATCAATATTCTCCATTTTTTGCTGTGTGATAATTTTGTTCTGGATGATACTTTTTATTTCTTGATATGCTTTTTAACGTTGGGTCCAATAATTATGACTGAGCCTGTATTCCTTTAATTGAGAGTTCCGGCCAAGTCTTAAATTCATAGTAGTGTTCCATTAGGCCCAGATAGTCTCATCGTTACTGTTTAGGATTACTGTTTACTCTTTATTTGTAGAGTTTTATTCCTCATATAATGGAGAAACAGGAATGACAGATATAAGAAATTAGGCCGTATATCATTATAAACTTGTTACTACTATAATCCTTGGTTTAAAGTTCTTGACTTTTTCTTGATATCAAAATCGAAATTAGATTCTACACTTAAAACAGTTTGTTACTCGTTAATGTGAGTTGCACTGAATTTCCACTTTATTACCTTCTTTTCAAGGGAAGACCTTGCAAAGAAGGTCTTTTTGCATGATTGCTACTTTTTGTAGTGTGTTTCTGTGTCTTAAATATATCTTTTCTTATAGGCATAACCATTGGTTATATGATATTTAAGTCATGTAGCTCTGTCCCTCACAGGAATGATCCGTTCTGGAAGCTTTATGATAGTACTACTAGTAATAGTAATAGTAATAATAACAAGGAACAGCAGCCATTAACGTTTACTGAGCATAGCAAGTGCTTTTCATGTATGGAGTCTTTAATCCTCATGACAACTCCACTGAATCCAGGAAGCTGGCCTCCAGAGCTTATGGGCTTAACTACCGTACTAACCTACTGATCCTAAGTAAATACTCGCATCTACTCACTACCATCATGGCTTGACTTCCTAGATAGTTCTCTAGGATGGTTTTCTGATGCCAGGGCTTTCCTATATATTATCTTCCAGAACTCAGGTTCACTGAAAATAAAAGGATAGGCCCATAAGATACCTAAAAATACAAAGAAGAAGGTAGAGCTATCTATATAGTTATTAAAGTAGAATTTAAAAAGACTGAATGTGACAAACAAGAAACATTATGTCATGATAAAAGGCACTGTAGGATTAACAGTTATAACTTCTATATATTAAAATATATATATAATAGCAAAAATTAGAAATGCAGAGAAAATTCAATGTTAAAAAGTTTAAAAATAGATGAAAATGAATTTTAGATTAAGAGAGATGTTTTTTAGGAAGTTATATATACACTCACCATACTATCTGGTAAAATCCCACTTCAAGGTATTTATGCCCCAAAAAATGAAGATCTGTGTTCACACTTAAGTCTGTAACAGTAGTTAATATCAAATGTGTGTTTCCTTCCTTGGTTTCTCCTCTCTTGACACATATCTACTCTATAACACAACTCATAAAATATTTTTAAGTGCCATTAAAAATTCTTAATGTTTCTGGTGTTAATTTTCAAAACAGTTAAGGTGAATATATGATGTCTCTAAATAAATAAATCTTACTTGAATTTTGTATTTAATATGTTATTATATACAACCATTTGTTGTCTGCATTTAGGGGTTTCTAAGGCGCTTCAGTTCAGCATGTCCAAAACTGACCCTGCCCATTCTACCCCAACCTAAGTCCTCTTCCAGGCACTCTTAACTCAGAAAATTGTAAGACCTTATGTCCGTTTATCATTCAAATAGTTATTAGCCAAGTTTCTGCTGTTTTTTTAAGGCATCATACTAAGAATTGGGATGAAAACAGATATGGTCTAGTAAGGAATACAGCTGTACACAAATAAATGGACAAAGAGTACCATTATGTGTCATGATAATATGGCGAATTAATTTCTACAGATCCAAAAATCTGGGAGTCAACCCCTTCATTCTGTTAATAACCAAGTCCTGATGGTCCTCAAATATTTTACTTCTTTCACCTTGATTGCCCCCATAGTCTAAAAATGCTGCAGTACCTACCTAATTGGTGTCCTTGCATCTGTTACTGCAGTCTTCCATTCTATTCTTCTTCCTATGGACAGATTTAGCCTCATAAAACCTAAAGCAGATTTCTCCCTTACTTAACTTCAACGGTTTACTAATGCTTTTAAAATAATTAAAATCCTTAAATAAGCATACCAGTCCTACATGGTCTCTACTTTTCTAGATGTTTTCCTATCCACCCACCTCAAGCCTTCATGCTGTCTCCTCTCCCTAACCTCCCCACCCATCCATCCACCTACTTAATTTATATTCATCTTTAAGGTTTCACTTCAAATGTCCTTTCCTGAGAGATGCTTTTGCCAAATCCACAGACTAGGTTCTTGATTTATGCTTTATAATACCTTGTTTTGTTCCTTAATAGCATTTAACAAAGTTTGTAATTATATATTTACTTATATGATTATCAGTTTAATACCTCTCTTCCATAAGCTTTATGAAGCTAAGGACTGTACTTCCATTACTTAATATAGTACCGTTTCAGTGGTAGGTATTAGGTGAGCGATGAATGGATTAATGAACAAGTAATATAGTAAAATCAAGAAACAAAGTAGACCTGAAACCTTTTTGTTAATATTATTACTTAAAAGCTCAGTGAGGAAGACTAAAATGAATGGCTTGGATTCAGGACGTTAAAAGTAAATATTGCTAATATTGACTAATTACAAATTTGATAGTTTTAGGGAGTGGTAGTTAAAATGTTTAGGAAATAATACACAATTTGAACACAACAATCTAGCTATTTGGAGTGTGGGATTTCTCTCATATATTTAATTCTTTTTCTTTTGAGACGGAGTCTTACTCTGTCACCAGGCTGGAGTGCAGTGGCGCAATCTCGGCTCACTGCAGCGTCTGCCTCCTGGGTTCAAGCGATTCTTCCACCTCAGCCTCCCGAGTAGATAGAACCACAGGCACACGCCACCATGCCTGGCTAATTGTTTTGTATTTTTAGTAGAGACAGGGTTTCACCGTGTTGGCCAGGATGGTCTCGATCTGTTGGCCTCGTGATCCACCTGCTTTGGCCTCCCAAAGTGCTACGATTACAGGCGTGAGCCACCGCGCCCAGCCTCATATATTTAATTCTTAAAAGAGATGTTTATATTTGAGATGTTTGTTAGCAAATATATGTACTTTATATTTTGTATTTCTCTGTTTCATTTAGGTTCAGTTTGATCGTTACCTGTCAGCCCCGGACAACCTATTAATGCCACAGCTGAACTTTCTTCTAAGTGCCACAGTGAAGTAAGTATTTTTGGTCCCAAGTAGTTGGTAAAGATTCACATATTTTTAAATATCAAGTACATGTTTTGGAAAAAATTTATTTTTAAGAATAGACAATTTACCATTGAAATCTATAGTCCTCAATCTTTCTTCTGCCTCAGGATGTGATCTGAACATACCTGTTTATTCCATGTCTATATGTCACTCCCAAATCTCTAATTAGTAAATGATTCTTTAAATTACTTTGAATATAATTGAAGCTATATAGCCGTAATACCAAATTCCCTTATGTTAACAAACATGTCAGAATAATGTATTCATTGTGCAATGCAGATGAACTGTTTTATAGACTATTTTGAACCTAAGGTGGTTTTCTGTAGATATAGAATTACTTGATAATCATTTATCAGGAAAGTATTCAGAGCACAGAATCATACAGGTAAATATTAGAATATAATAATTAGAAGAAACAGAGATTGAGATTATATAATCTGACTTTCTTGATTTTAAGAAAAATATTGGCAAAATTGTCTGTAGGTAAGAAATTAGGCAACATTATCTACACATTTCTTTTTCTTTCTATTCAAACAGCAGTGTAGTATGTGTTTTCTACGTAACAGGCACTAGAAGCTAAGGTTTAAAAGACATTTGGACTGTTTTCATGGAGCTTATAGCCTAATAGGTCAGTTAAACATGTGAACAAATATTTATATGAAAATGTACAGAAGGAAAGAACTGTTGAAGAGAATATTTCACATAGCTAAAAGGATGTAATGGCGCAGAGGTGATACAGACTTACTTTCTGTTCTGGAGCATAGAACTACAGCAAAAAATAGAGCAAGGAAGCAGCTTTTTAACTCACCATGCAGAATTTGATATCAGTTAGAATTGGCTGGAAATCAATGGACCATTTTTTATTTCTCAGACACAGAATTAGGAAGGTCCCATTTTAGGTGAGTGACGAGTACGTGAACAATGTTTTTTGTGAGTTTTATATTGTATTAACCTAAAAGATATCATACTGTTTACATAACTAGAATTTTAAAGACTTAAGAGATTACCAAAGAAACTGTTATGCTGTGACTCAGTTTGTGTGTGCTTCTTAAATTGTTAAATTTTTAACTGAATACTGTAATTCTTTTTAACTTAACCATATCTCAGTACTTAATATTTGAATGTTGTTAGCAGTGTCACTACAACTGTGAAATATATTGTTATTCTCTTCATAATACAATGATTGAAGAGAAATTTTAATATACTTTAAAGGATGACATGTAGCCCAGATGCTGTGAAGCAGGGGTCCCCAACCTCCAGGCCAGGAACCCCAGTCTGTGGCCTGTTAGGAGCATGAAACCTACTGTGAATTGTGCCTGGAATGATCTAGGCTGTGCGTTCCTTATGAGAAGGAACAGTTTCCTCCCAAAACCATCCCCCCACCCTGGTCCACAGAAAAATTGTCTTCCATGAAACCAGTCCCTGCTGCCAAAAACATTGGGAACTGCTGCTATAAAGGAAACAGATTTGGCTCTGTAACATTTTAAGGTTTTTACAGAAAAAGGTAATATAAACTAAGTTAAAATATAGACAGTAATATGTAAAAATATTTGCAAAATATGTTCCAGATCCATTATTCTTAATATGTTATCCTTAATGTGTAGTAAGATCCTATAAATTAATAGAAATCGTAGAAAAACAGCACCGAATGTTTGGACAATTCACAGAAGTAATGCAAATGGCAAGTGAATATATGAGGAAATAGTAATTATCAAAATAATGCAAACTGAAGCAACAGTGAGATCTGCTGGCAGTAAAACATTTGTTACATACCAATGGAACAGGTCTGAGAATATGGGCATTTTCACACTTTTTTAGTGAGAGTGTAAGTTAGTACAATCTTTTCAAAGCGCAATTTGGCAACATTCCACAAAATTCCAAAATTATACATTCTTAGACTCTTCTAAAATTTTATTTTTCTTTCTTAGTCTTGCTAACAGTTTTAAAAAACTGTTGAACCAGTGGGGTTGAGTAGTGTATGTGGGTCTATTTGAGATCTTTGTAAAACTTCTCAGGTTTTCTAAAGCTTAAATTATTTTTGAAATTAAATGCTTGTCTTCTATTATTGAAGAGAGTATTTTAGTTTCCCATTTACTTTTATTATCCAATTGCCTAACAGTAACAATGTAAACTTTGTTTTTATTATCAGACAAATGAACAAATTTTGGTACTTTTTTTTAATGTGAATTTTTAATTTAGTTTTTTTTTTTATAATTTTGTGGTATGTGCTTAAGATCCTGTTATAAATCCTTACTAATTATAATGACATTTAAAATTGAGATATACATATTATCTATATAAGTATTAATAGTACAAACAAGAATTTGAAATTGCTTAGTAACTATTTAACTACCTCTATTTCATTCAGAAATATTTTAAAATGTTATTTGCAAAATATTCTAAAATTAAATGAGATCTGTTACATAATTTTCAATATTTGTGTAGAAGAACAGAAATTATGGTATAAATTTAGCTACTTATTTTCAAAATCAGGATTGCTTTGAAAACATAGGGCATTTTACACATTTAAGATTTAACATCAGGCCCAGTGCAGTGGCTCATGCCTGTAATTCCAGCACTTTGGGAGGCAGAGGTAAGCAGATCATGAGGTCAGGAGTTCGAGACCAGCCTGACCAATATGGTAAAACCCCATTTTTACTAAAAATACAAAAATTAGTGAGGCATGGTGGCATACACCTGTAGCCCCAGCTACTCAGGAGGATGAGGCAGGAGAATCACTTGAACCAGCAGGCAGAGGTGGCAGTGAGTCGAGATCGCACCACTGCACTCTAGCCTGGGTGACAGAGACTTCATCTAAAAAAAAATATTTAACTTTAAAGCATATTTTTATTGTTTTACTTTTTTGAGATGGAGTTTGGCTCTGTCACCCAGGATGGAGTGCAGTGGTGCCATCTTGGCTCACTGCAGCCTCCATCTCCTGGTTCTAGTGATACTCCCGACTCAGCTTCCCAAGTACCTGGGACTACAGGCTTGCGCCACCACGCCTGGATAATTTTTGTAGTTTTAGTAGAGACGGGGGTCTCACCATCTTGGCCAGGCTGGTCTTGAACTCCTGACCTCAAATGATCAACCTGCCTTGGTCTACAAAAGTGCTGGGATTACAGGCATGAGCCACCACTTCTGCCCTCAAGCAGGTTTTTAAATTGCATGTATCCTCTCTGTTTTTGTTTTTTCATATTCTCTCCTGAACTTTGTTTATCTTCATAGTTGCAATACCTCTGGGACACCTGTAATTCATGTCTCCCTTTTTCTTGTCTTGTCTTAGTTTGATTGACTTTCAAGGAGATTTTGATTGAGTGCCTCAGCCTTGGAATAAGCTACTGAATACATTTAAGTAGCTAGGAAACAAGGTGGTATTGAAAATAGGGTAAAGAATTGGAAAAGAAAATGGTTTTAAAGAATTCTTCCCTTTGGAATGAATTCGAAGCTATATTTTCAATGTAAAATCTCCAATATTCACCTTCTAGCAGTACAAAAATTCTTTGGACTATAGAAACCATAATTGCGCATATATAAAATGTTCTCAATAAATCTTTGCTTATTGTACACAATTACTTCCATAATAACTTAAGAAATACAGAGAATATAGATGCTCCCTAAAGTGAGCATATGGGAAAGTGAATAAAATTTGATAACTCTTTCATTCAAGATTTTTTCTCTATTATAGAAATAATCCATTAGAAACAAAGCATGTATCTATAATGGAGCAATTTTTTTTAGAGAAATTGAATGATTTTTTTTCTTTACCTTCCTTTATTCACCTGTACTATCAGGAATATCCATATAAACCAAAATGAAGCAAGTTCGGGGTGAAATTAAAAAAAAAAAAAAAAAAAAGACCAGGAAAAGAACTACTGGACAGCTGTGAACTGAATGCTTTAGAGACCTCAGAAAGTCCAAACCTTAAAAGCAGGGTTAATCTAGTCCTACAGGAAAGGCTACTATATTAGTCAGGGTCCTTCAGAGAGGCAGAACCAAGAGAAAGAGACACACACACAGTAGGCTGTCTGGAGAGCTGGGGAAGCTGGTAGCGTGGCTCATTACAGGTCCAGAAGCCTCAGAACAAGGGAAGCTGATGGTGTAACTCTCAGTCTGAGGCCAAAGCCTGAGAACCCAGTTACAGGAGACTACTGGTGCAAGTCCTGGAGTCCAAAGGCTGGAGAACCTGGAATTCCTATGTCCAAGGGAAGGAAAGAAAGAGTGCCTTAGCTGCAAGAGAGAAAAAGAGCAAATTGGCTGTTCCTCTGCCTTTTCGCTCCATTCAGGCCTTCAGCTGATTGGTTGGAGACTGCCCCGTTGATGATGAATCTTCTTCACCCAGTCTCCTAACTAACATGCAGTCTCCTATGGAAACACCCTCACAGACAGACCCAGAAATTATGCTTTATCAACTAACTAGGTATCCCTTATCCAGTCAAGTTATCCCTCAAAATTAACCATCACAGCTACTTTAGATTCATACTAATTAAGCTTAAAAACAAGCCTTTAAATGATCAACTTGATCTGTAATTAAATTAACTGCCTTCTGGACTAAAACATAACATACTTAAAGATCACAATTAGAGACAGTCAACAGTGTAACATCTATAATGCTAAGCATGCAATAAAATACTATTTCAGTGAAAAAGCAGGAAAATAGGAGCTAAACCTAGAAAAAAAATCAGTCAGTAGAAACAGTTACAAATGGTAAAGTTTACAGAATTAACAGACAAGGTATTTTTAAAAGCTATAAAAAATGTATTCAATAATTTAAAGGAAAACATGATCTTGAGAGAACAAACAGGGGATTTTACAAAATTAGAATTTTAGACCTCAGAGATGTCGTATATAAAATGAAAAATCCACTGGATTGGCTTATAGGCCGGTTGAATACTCCAGAGGGAAAGATCAGTTAACTTGAAGAGAGGACAATAGAAACTGAAACACAGACAGAAAAAAATTAAAAG